TTTGGTCCTCGATTGGCACTCTTAACAGAGCCATAGACCTTCATTCCGCCTAAAAAGCGCTCAGAACGGAGCAATAGGTCGGCCGAAGGAAGACAGACAGGACCAACGGCCGGTAGCCGCGAGCGAAGAAGGTGGAAACGCTCAGAAGGCACAAGAACGACGTGACGCATTGCATGGAGGCGCCCGCGACGGCGCGAACAATTCAGACAGCCCCCAGCTATCTATCGGTACAATCGATCTACGTGCGAGCATCCGGCAGTCAAAACACGCGTCTAGCGATCAGACCCACTCCTTTGACACCAACAGGAGAACAGACTTTACGCTCTGACGATGGAAGCGACAATGTTTTTCAAACGTCAGCTTAAATACAACTCGGTCTCAGAACTTGCCACTTCTTCCTCTACGGGGGCTGATGAAAGCAATATAGTTTAAGGAGTTTAAACGTAACTTAATATGATGACTTGGGAAATGGAATAGCTGTAGGCGGCTAGCTTAGCTGAAAAAACAACAACTTTGAAACCAGAACGAGAGATATGCCAGATTTTTAAATTAGCATTCGAAACTATTCAGCAGAAGGCTTCTTAATGTAAAATGCAAATATCGACATAATGAAGGATCGTCCTAGAATAAGTCGCAAAATGTAGACTTCCTTCAAAAGTGTGCCAGTGTTGTACGCTGATGCCATCATTATTACAATTTAAACAAACCAAAAAAAACAGAAACAAGTACATTACGTCAATCAATATAGGTAAATAAAGTGCGCATGCGAGCATACAGCATACATTGGGAGTGAGATAGCTTTCACGACAGGATCTTGCCCAGCAGGTTTCGACGCAGATAACGCACCATTAGCAATACTACCTTGAGGATCACTCTAAAGCCCCGTCATACGAGTGCGCCCCGTTAGCGATTGGTGAGAGTTCGTCGATGGATGTCAGTAACAACCAATCTAAAACGACAAGAAAACGACACCCTGGCGTTGGACTTCTGATCAACAGGTTGACGGTTCGAACTTCCTTCGTGGCTCCGCCTGTGGTTGAATATGGTTGGCTGATTGCGGATAAAATCTATAAATGGGCAGGCAAGACTCCTTTTTGTTTGCTGGATATGTGCAGACTTCACCATTTATGAGTGTTATAACTATAACGTCTTCACGAAATGAGGCGAATTTTCGCATCCCAGGAACGTGAATATTTTGAGAAGAAGAGGAA